AACATGAAAATCATAAAAGCTGCTGATCTCAGCACTGAACACTACTACTGTACGTACTCCTGGAAGCTGCTGGTGTCAGCCCTGGAACACTCCTGCTCTACGTGCTCTTGGAAGCTGCTGGTGTCAGCCCTGGAAGCTGCTGGTGTCAGCCCTGGAAGCTGCTGGTGTCAGCCCTAGAACACTCCCGCTCTAGGTGCTCCTGGAAGCTGCTGGTGTCAGCCCTGGAACACTCCCGCTCTAGGTGCTCCTGGAAGCTGCTGGTGTCAGCCCTGGAACACTCCCGCTGTACGTGATCCTGGAAGCTGGCCGGAGCCAGGCCTAGTCTTGTATCACTTCAAGTTCATATTGGCTCTGATCTGTTAGGTTTTGTAAATAAATTCGTACCTTGACAGCGCGGAGTTCTTGTAGTTTTGCCTTCCTCTCATCCTCTACACTGTCCGTATTCTCCACCACACTCTCCCTCAGGTCCTCCACCACATCCCTTCCTCAACCGCCGCCACCAATCACCACCGTCATTCATAACGTCACTAAACTGATGTACTAAATGCCCGAATCTAACCTAACCCAGAACTATAAATAGAAAACGGGACTCGCGTCAATTTTACGAGGCCTATGATTTTTAGTACATCAGTTTTTAGCCTTAAAGGATGTCGACCTCAAAATGCAATGTAGTACTGGAGAGGCCAGCTTGTCCCCCCCCCCTCCCCCTCCTAGTCTCTCGCTCCGCACTCCAGTTGACATACGTCCATGAGTCCATGTCAGTTATCTTGAGTTATCTTGAGATGATTTCGGGGCTTTAGTGTCCCCGCGGCCCGGTCCTCGACCAGGCCTCCACCCCCAGGAAGCAGCCCGTGACAGCTGACTAACACCCAGATACCTATTTTACTGCTAGGTAACAGGGGCATAGGGTGAAAGGAACTCTGCCCATTGTTTCTCGCCGGCGCCTGGGATCGAACCCGGGACCACAGGATCACTCGCCCAGCGTGCTCTCCGCTCGGCCAACCGGCTCCCCCTGCATAGTACATATGTCTCACATGTACTATACACTATGTGTGGTGGCGAGCATGCAACACCAGGCTATCGGTCCTCACACTAGACTAAGGAGGAAGACGTTGCCCATGCAGCAGTGGGTCAGTGTGAAGGTCCTTGATGCCGAGTGTTCCTTCAGTTAGCCAAGGGTAAAGGGGGTGGGGGGGGGGGGGGGAGAAGTAGAGAAGTAGTGTTCCCCGTTCTTGAGAGGTCTTGACGTTTGAGCTGAAGGATAGGTTTCCTTGTCACGTGACTTGGGCGTTCAGAGTTCCCGGGTCTCCGCCGACTGCCTGGGTCAGGGAGACCCTGCTGCTAACCCATGACTTTCTGCCGTCGCTTTATCTCTGTTGCATTCGATCCTGTCGTTGTTGCTGTTGCTTCTGTTCCTGCCTCTGCGTCCTGTCTCTGTTCGCCGTATCTTGGTGCTCTTGTTACTGTTTCTACCGTGAGTACCTGTGCTTTACCCGCCCTTAGCGTTGTAACAGCCGTCGCGGGTGTTGCTACTGGTGTTGTCACCCGCTCAAGGTGTCAATAGTCTCACGGAAGGTGTTGGTGCGGAGTGACCAGCGGGGGTGTAGTTGTGGGGGGGCGGTGTGGGGTGTAGTTGTGGGGGGGCGGTGTGGGGTGCAGTTGTGGGGGGGCGGTGTGGGGTGCAGTTGTGGGGGGTGTAGTTGTGGGGGACGGTGTGGGGTGCAGTTGTGGGGGGGGAGGAGGGAATGGGAGGTGGAGGTAACTGCGAGGCATTTCCTGGGGATTTAGTGTTTTCCCAACAATTACTGTCGTTGGGGTTGGGGAACTACGAGACGGGGGGGGGGGGTTCAGACTGAAGGGCGTGGTTCTCTCTCTCACACACACACACACACACACACACACACACACACACACACACACACACACACACACACACACACACACACACACACACACGAGCGTAGCTCTCATCTTGTAACTACACTTAGGTGGTAACAGGATGTTACAGTAACTAACTGTAGTTACATTTAGTTACACACACACACACACACACACACACACACACACACACACACACACACACACACACACACACACACACACACACACACGCGCGCGCGCAGTAATCAGAGGCAATGTATCGGACTGGAGAAATGTCACAAGTGGAGTACCACAGGGTTCAGTTCTTGCACCGGTAATGTTCATTATCTACATAAACGATCTACCAGATGGAATACAGAATTATATGAACATGTTTGCTGATGATGCTAAGATAATCGAGAAGATGAGAAACTTCGATGATTGTCATGCCCTTCAAAAAGACCTGGACAAAATAAATCTATTGGTGCACCACTTAGCAAATAGCATTTATTGTGAATAAATATCATGTTATGGAATATGGAATAGAAAAAATAGACCTCACACAACCTACAAATTATATGAAAATGCTTTAAAAAAAATATGATAAAGAAATCTAGGGGGTAGATCTAGACCGAAAACTATCACCTGAGGACCACAAAAAGAACATTGTGCGGGGAGCCTAAACAACGCCTTCCAATTTCAGAATTGCTTTTAAATACATGGATGGTGAAATACTAAAGAAACTGTTCAAACTTTGTGAGACCAAAGCAGGAACAATGCAGGAGGTGTGTGGTGCCCATATCGTAAGAAGCACATCAACAAACTGGAAAAGGTGCGAAGACTTGCAACTAAATGGCTTCCGGAAAGAAAGACAATAGGTACGAGGAGTGGTTAGAGGCAATCAATGTGCGAGAACTAGAAGATAGAAGAAAACCAGGCGACATGACCACTACGTACAAAAAATGATAGGGAAGAATTTCTGAGACCTGGAACTTCAAGAACAAGAGGTCATAGATGTAAACTAACTAAACAAAGATGCCGAAGAAATATAAGACAATTCACTTTAGTAAAGAGAGTGGTAGACGGTTGGAACAAGTTAAGTGAGAAGGTGGTGGAGGTCAAGACCGTCAGTAGTTTCAAAGTGTTATATGACAAAGAGTGCTGGGAAGACGGGACACCACGAGTGTAGCTCTCATCCTGTAACTACACTTGGGTAATTACACACAGATTAGATCTCTATATTCACGTTAGCTGACACTTTGTACAAATTCCTCTTGGTGATCATGCTAGTAAATTTACTTTTCCACTCTGAAGCTGCAGCCAGAGTGCAATTTTGTTCACCTTACTCTCTAATATAAACTATAAACAAAATATATACAAAAAATGCGTGTGTGTGTGTGTGTGTGTGTGTGTGTGTGTGTGTGTGTGTGTGTGTGTGTGTGTGTGTGTGTGTGTGTGTGTTAAATAATTCTTAAATTGTATTAAGCTGCTCACGTTTTAAACAAAACCAAATCTCTGACCATTACAGTTGTGTGAGATTGTCAAGAATAATGAGGTTGTGGTGTTTCTGGTTCGCTGCTAATTACCTCCACAATGACGCTACATTTCGCATCAGATTACAGCAGAGCTTATTCACCTGTCAGCCCACCAGACTGGTCCAAACATCAAGTGAGACTCACAGTTCTTATTTCCCAGTGATGTGACGATGACAGGATGTGCTGGCTGTGTACGGGCGTCTCGGGCCTCATCTGCGTTACGCTGACGCATTTTACGCGTTTTGTCAGCTGGAATTAATGTCTTTGTTGTTACGATGCAACATTACGTAAGTGTGGTGCGAGTGAAAGTTGGTTCCAAGCTCCAGAGGGGGTTGCCAAGCGGGGAGTTTAGTGTGTTCCCAGCCAGCAGGCCAGGGTGCTCTTGCTGCACTTGCTCGTCCTTCACACTCCTCATCCTGGTCCTACTCCTGCAGGACAATGATCCTGATGCTGCGGAAATGCCTGCCAGGTCACCCGCCGCCGTCCTCTCCCTCATGTCTACCTGGCTTTACCTCCTCCACGCTACGGGAAATTCTTGTTTCATTATATATTTATGCTTATATAATGTCGAAAAGTACTCAAGTTTTTAATTTATCAATGTGATGAAAACTCACTTCTCAGTAAGCAAATATAAATGTAAATAATAGACTACAGCTACAGCATAAAATTGACAATTTGTCGTCAAAAGGAGACACGCCTGCCATCTGTTGGCGGCGAGAGAATATATCAACACGCTGGTTCCTGCTACTAACGTTTTGCAGGGGATACTTACCAAGACTGACTGGTCCCTCGTGTACTCGCTTAGTTGTGCTTGCGGGGGTTGAGCTCTGGCTCTTTGGTCCCGCCTCTCAACTGTCAATCAACAGGTGTACAGATTTCTGAGCCTACTGGGCTCTATCATATCTACATTTGAAACCGTGTACGGAGTCGGCCTCCATCAAATCACTGCCTAATGCATTCCATCTGTTAACTACTCTGACACTAAAAAATTCTTTCTAAGGTCCCTGTGGCTCATTTGGGTACTCAGTTTCACCTGTGTCCCCTTGTTCGCGTACCACCCGTGTTAAACAGATTATCATTATCTACCCAGTCAATTCCTCTGAGAATTTTGTAAGTAGTAATCATGTCTCCCCTTACTCTTCTGTCTTCCAGTGTCGTCAGGTTTATTTCACGCAGCCTATCCTCGTAACTCATGCCTCTTAGTTCTGGGACTAGCCTAGTGGTATACCTCTGAACTTTTTCCAGCTTCGCCTTGTGCTTGACAAGGAACGGGCTCCATGCTGGGGCCGCATACTCCAGGATTGGTCTTACATATGTGATATTCAAGGTTCTGAATGATTCCTTACACAGGTTCCTGAAGGCAGTTCTGTTGTTAGCCTTACTGTGTTTTACTGTTTAAGAGCTAGTAACACCATATAATCGTACAGTGTCCTTCCTAGTTGTAGAATTATTTTTAATGACATTTTCTTCATATATATATATATATATATATATATATATATATATATATATATATATATATATATATATATATAATATAAATTATATTTAATTACAGTGATTCAATTATATTGGTTATTAATTTCGTGTTTTTTTTCCTTTCAGCGGTTCGGGCAGACCGGATGAGAGGAGGCCGCAACAAGTTCGGACCCATGTACAAGCGCGACAGGGCACGGAAACTTCAGATGCTTCGACAGCGACAGTTGACACATCCAGGAATACTATCCGGTGGCCGACACCCCACCACCTCCGGCGTCGCCATCACTTACTCCGCGCCCGGCTACTCCTCGGCGCCCTCCTCACACGTACACATCAAAGAAGAAATACAGAGTCCCTTCCTATCGTCGTCCACGTCGTCACCTGACTCGTCTCCGTCGCCCATGGGTGGATTGGGCGGGCTGGTGGCGGCTTCCAGTGGCAGCAGCGGCCTGGTGGCTTCTGGACCCGTTGCGCCGATCATCGCTGGCCCCGACCCCACCTTCTGGGTCACCAACACTCAGTCAACAGCCGCCGGGGTAACCGCAGGAACGCCGCCTTCGGGCGGCGTGGGCGGTGGGGGCGGCGGAGGCGGGGGCGGCGGAGGTGGAAGTCGCACGGCTCCGGGCGGCCCCAGGATCCCTCTTATGATCCGAGAGTTGGTAGAGACAGTCGACGACCAAGAATGGCAAGCGTCTCTCTTCTCACTCCTCCAAAACCAGACTTACAACCAGTGTGAGGTCGACCTCTTCGAGCTCATGTGTAAAGTGCTCGACCAGAACCTCTTCGCCCAAGTCGACTGGGCGCGCAACTCCTGTTTCTTCAAGGATCTCAAGGTGGGTACGGCACACGACACCTCTCTCACCCACACACACCCCGCTTCTTCTCGCATCACTTTCTTCTTCTTAGAGTTAGCGAAGTCTCTTGCAAGAGTGAGGTTGGTACTGTCTGTTGACCGAGGTAACGTACAGTCACGCCTACACGACCAGTCACGCCTACACGACCAGTCACGCTTACACGAACATACGACCAGTCACGCCTACACGGACACACGACCAGTCACGCCTACACGACCAGTCACGCTTACACGACCAGTCACGCTTACACGACCAGTCACGCTTACACGAACATACGACCAGTTACGCCTACACGGACACACGACCAGTCACGCCTACACGGACACACGACCAGTCACGCCTACACGACCAGTCACGCTTACACGAACATACGACCAGTTACGCCTACACGGACACACGACCAGTCACGCCTACACGGACACACGACCAGTCACGCTTACACGAACACACGACCAGTCACGCTTACACGAACATACGACCAGTCACGCCTACACGGACACACGACCAGTCACGCCTACACGGACACACGACCAGTCACGCCTACACGGACACACGACCAGTCACGCCTCCACAGACACACGACCAGTCACGCCTCCACAGACACACGACCAGTCACACCTCCACAGACACACGACCAGTCACGCTTACACGGACACACGACCAGTCACACCTCCACAGACACACGACCAGTCACACCTCCACAGACACACGACCAGTCACACCTCCACAGACACACGACCAGTCACACCTCCACAGACACACGACCAGTCACACCTCCACAGACACACGACCAGTCACACCTCCACAGACACACGACCAGTCACACCTCCACAGACACACGACCAGTCACGCCTACACGGACACACGACCAGTCACGCTTACACGGACACACGACCAGTCACGCTTACACGGACACACGACCAGTCACACCTCCACAGACACACGACCAGTCGGGCCACGTCAATCAGGTCTTCATCACACACCACTCCAGAACTATACCTGAATAGTAGATGGCGCGACACGACCTGACACACGCAGGGTTGTGGCGCGACACGACCTGACACACGCAGGGTTGTGGCGCGACACGACCTGGCACACGCAGGGTTGTGGGGCGACACGACCTGACACACGCAGGGTTGTGGCGCGACACGACCTGGCACACGCAGGGTTGTGGCGCGACACGACCTGACACACGCAGGGTTGTGGCGCGACACGACCTGACACACGCAGGGTTGTGGCGCGACACGACCTAACACACGCAGGGTTGTGGCGCGACACGACCTGACACACGCAGGGTTGTGGCGCGACACGACCTGGCACACGCAGGGTTGTGGCGCGACACGACCTGACACACGCAGGGTTGTGGCGCGACACGACCTGACACACGCAGGGTTGTGGCGCGACACGACCTGACACACGCAGGGTTGTGGCGCGACACGACCTAACACACGCAGGGTTGTGGCGCGACACGACCTGGCACACGCAGGGTTGTGGCGCGACACGACCTGGCACACGCAGGGTTGTGGCGCGACACGACCTGACACACGCAGGGTTGTGGCGCGACACGACCTGACACACGCAGGGTTGTGGCGCGACACGACCTGACACACGCAGGGTTGTGGCACAACGACTCAGCTTACAGTATTATGTTAGTGGTCATTCGATGGTTTAGGACTCATTAGTGAACGATGATGTAAGACGTTACTTCCAAACCTCTAAAAACCAGAAGAATCGCTGCTGCTGTTCTTGTTGTTTTAGATTCAGATATTCGGAACAATTGCAAGTAGCACGGGCTATGGTGAGCCCGTAGTGGACTTCCCTGGCACAGGAGGGGGCAAGTAGCACGGGCTATGGTGAGTCCGTAGTGGACTTCCCTGGCACAGGAGCGGGGCTGTGACTGTTTTGTGAATATGAGAGTGAAGAAGATTAAGCCAGCCAAGAGGTGGCACGGGCATGACTCGCCGCTTTTAAAGACTTTTCTAGCAGCAGAGGTAAAGCGAATTACGTCTTTTCTGAACTTGTTTTATTTGCTGGCCAAGTCGAGGCGGATTGAAGATCTATCAGTTTACGAAGGAAGCGACTCAACTGACCCCGACACGAACATATAACACTTCCGAACACACAAGTTTAAATTAACAAAATATTTTTTTTCTCGACTTATTAGCCAAATATAAACAATTACAAGAGTTCGGGAGAAAACTTTCGTAATAGTTAAAACCCGTCAGGTCCGAAGCTCACAGTGTCACCATCAGCAGTGTTGAAGCTCGATGGCTAATGGCTACATAGAGAGACGATCAAAACTTGGGTGTAAACTATAAACAACGTCTCTAATACCCTTCAGCCTTGTTTTGGAGACACGGGGCGTTACTAGCGGCGGACGCTGGCGAGGGCAGGCATAAGTAGACAAGGGAGGCGTAGGTAGACAAGGGAGGCGTAGGTAGACACGGCAGGCGTAGGTAGACACGGCAGGCGGACGCTGGAGTATACAGGAAAAGGTAGGATCAGAGGAACAAAAAGTACACCACACTGCTAATGACAAGGGGATACTTGCCAAGACTGACTGGTCCCTCGTGTCTTACTCCTTACGAGCTACTAACACGATATAATCATATGTCGTTCGTAGTTGTATAATTAGTTGTAATTACATTTTATGTATTTACAGTATATGTATTTAATTAGATTTTAATTAAATCGGGGTTAAATTGGTCGGGCTCCGGGTGGGCGGGGCCTGACCACCCGGGTGGGCGGGGCCTGACCACCCGCGTCGGCAGCCTTAAATGTATATTCGTATTAATACAAAAGACCAAAAGAAAGAACTCTACAAGACTGTACGCTGGTGTATACAGCGCCCCGTGCAGCACGTGTATACAGCGCCCCGTGCAGCACGTGTATACAGCGCCCCGTGCAGCATGTGTATACAGCGCCCCGTGCAGCATGTGTATGCAGCGCCCCGTGCAGCATGTGTATACAGCGCCCCGTGCAGCATGTGTATACAGCGCCCCGTGCAGCATGTGTATACAGCGCCCCGTGCAGCATGTGTATACAGCGCCCCGTGCAGCATGTGTATACAGTGCCCCGTGCAGCATGTGAGCACTACAACGTCTTCTGCACAAAGAACAAACAATGCCCCGTCAGTGTTGGTAATCAGAGACCCCATTCGTAAACAAGTGCCCATTAGTACCCCTCTTTACACTGGCTTGCAATACCAGTGTAATGGAATGTTAACGTAGTTTACAGTCACGTCGTGTAGCACTTGCTGTGGTTAAAGCCGTTGCAATAGCAGCAATAATGAGTATGTAATTGGTAATTAACTTGGGAACGTAATTCTCAGTCCCACAAGTGACCTTCCCGAAGACTCGCGGGCACTGGTGCCGGGGCATCACTCTAGGGGGCACCATGTGATTAATGTAGCTTTAAGGCTGTACATATTAAATAATAACACATTAAATTACCTCGGATACATTATACCATTAGGAATATAACCTATAGGCCGAGGGTATGCCGGCTGTCATCCACCACACCCCAGCAGTCATCCACCACACCCCGGCAGTGGGGGGAGGATGAGTACAAGTGCGTCACGCACAGTGTGGGGGGATGAGTACAAGTGCGTCACAGTGTGGGTGTGGCGCCTGTGTGGCCTCTCACTGTGGTCCTCCACGTTGTAAACACACACTGTCACAGTCTCTGCAACACGTCATGAACCTATTTATCTTGTAAACAGCTCTGGCTGGCGCCCCAGACACGCTGCTTGAGGGCTCGGCACGCTGCTTGAGGGCTCCACACCCTGCTTCAGGGGCTCGACACCCTGCTTCAGGGGCTCGACACCCTGCCTGAGGGGCTCGACACCCTGCCTGAGGGGCTCGACACCCTGCCTGAGGGGCTCGACACCCTGCCTGAGGGGCTCGACACCCTGCCTGAGGGGCTCGACACCCTGCCTGAGGGGCTCGACACCCTGCCTGAGGGGCTCGACACCCTGCCTGAGGGGCTCGACACCCTGCTTCAGGGGCTCGACACCCTGCCTGAGGGGCTCGACACCCTGCCTGAGGGGCTCGACACCCTGCCTGAGGGGCTCGACACCCTGCCTGAGGGGCTCGACACCCTGCCTGAGGGGCTCGACACCCTGCCTGAGGGGCTCGACACCCTGCCTGAGGGGTTCGACACCCCTGCCTGAGGGGCTCGACACCCTGCTTCAGGGGCTCGACACCCTGCCTGAGGGGTTCGACACCCCTGCCTGAGGGGCTCGACACCCTGCTTCAGGGGCTCGACACCCTGCCTGAGGGGCTCGACACCCTGCCTGAGGGGCTCGACACCCTGCCTGAGGGGCTCGACACCCCTGCCTGAGGGGCTCGACACCCCTGCCTGAGGGGCTCGACACCCCTGCCTGAGGGGCTCGACACCCTGCCTGAGGGGCTCGACACCCTGCCTGAGGGGCTCGACACACATGCACTGCATCACCCGCTTCCTCCACTATACCCACCCTGGAAATATTTACAAAAGGGGAACAAAAAGTTTACAGCCGAAAGCTGACCAACTGGTTTGTGGTTGATAAGTGGGTGGTAGGAGTCTTCCTGGGACGTGCTGCTTGTGTCTGCCTGACTATCCTTCCTCTCTATTCCTCTCTCTTCCTAGCTTGCCCCTCTCTATCCCTCTTTATCTCTTTCTCTCTCTCTCCTACTATCTCAATTAATCTTTTTAAGTACATAATTAAGGTTTTACGTTGAATGTTGATTTGTTATTCAACTTTTCAACAGAAACATTTATAAACAAGGATAATTATACATGGTAATTGTAATAATTTGGAATATACGACTAGACTTATTTTGAGATAATTAATTGCACTCGTCACTAGGCTGTGATGGTTGTCACAGTGAAGGGGCCAGTGGCAGCCTGATGCCCACACCGTCGCTGTCCTCGTCTCTAGTCATTATAATTGGCACAAACGCTGTCTACATAGCAAATGTTGATACATCACTGACTACAGAATATGCTAGACACATTGGTGGTGACCCAGCACCAACCGCCACCACTAACATACGCACTCTGGGCCTCATATCTACGTCTCTCTCACATTCTTATATTCTACGTAACTCTTAGCGAAATACAAAACAGCCTCGTGATATGAAGAGGATAAAGAATAATTTCTGTATAATGGTGGAAATCTATGGCGGAAATTGTAATTAGTAAAATCATTCAATAACCAAAAACAAAAAAGGGGGGGGGGAGGATCTTGGCAACTGAGGATGCAGGCCGCCATGGCGGGGGTTGGTGGGTGCCGGCCTGTGTCAGCGAGGCCACCACGACCGGATTCCGAGAGAGACATTTAGGTCAGTAGTGCCAAGTGCATGAAACGAGTCTTTACCCTGGCACTTTCATTTTCTCCCTGTATTTTTAATCTATGTCACCTTACACTCTTAGAAATCAATTTACTTCATTCGCAATTTCAATTGAATGGCTTTATTGAGGCGGATGGAGAGAGACTTAGAGGAGGAGAGATTAGGAGGGTGGCGGTGCGTGGAAATGAGTGACGTCACACGGCTCACTCTCCCTCTCGCCTGCGACACTCTTACAGTCTTAGAGTCTGCTCCAACAGGGAGTGAGGGGAAGTATGAGAACGCGATGATTGATTGATAAAGATTAAGCCACCCAAAAGATGGCACGAGCATGAATAGCCCGTAAGTGGTGGCCCTTTTGAGCCATTACCAGTATCAATAAATGATACTGGAGATCAGTGGAGGTGCGACTGCACCCTACGTGACGGGAGATGTCTCCCGTCCTGAGAAAGCGCCAAGCCGTTACAACTATATAGCACTTGGAAGGGGTCAGGACAAGGATTTGGGATGGGCTGGGAGGGAAGGATCGTTGCCCAACCACTTGGACGGTCGGAGATTGAACGCCGACCTGCATGAAGTGAAGCATTCCATCATTACTGTCGCTTTCAACCTACCTTCCTGCGCTTGTTATCACATGAACAATTTACATTAGAACCCAAACGTAAAAAATATACGAGGTGTTGAAAACTAATGGGTCACTCAGGCGTGCATTACAGGACATGCATCTCTTCCAGGAAGGTATAATTGATGCTATACTGGGCCTAATATATATAATATATATATAATATATATATATATATATATATATATATATATATATATATAGATATATATATATATATATATATATATATATAATATATACTGGGCCTAATATATTATATATATATATATATATATATATATATATATATATATATATATATATATATATATATATACACATATATATATATATATACATACATATATATACATACATAATATTTATATATATATATATATATATATTAATTATATAATATATAATATATATATTAGGCCCAGTATAGCATCAATTATACCTTCCTGAAAGAGATACATGTCCTGTAATGCATGCCTGAGTGACCCATTAGAATGTGCGAACAAGATTAAATGGTCCCGAAGCCTATATATAGTCGAAAACTCTACACCCCATAAGGATTCGAACCCAGACAGCCAGGTACACTATGGACCTTGGCGTATCTGGTTCCTTAACCGCTAAACTACAACTGACCAGCTAAAACAGAAGCGAAAAACAGGGGTAAAGGAGGAAACCCAACCTCCACTTAAAACTTTGGCCCAAATATCACTGTAACAAGATAATCGCGAATAACCGAACTCAATTACGGGCTCACTATAACCCGTGCTACATGGACATTTCGTTCTGAGTAGCTAAATCTAGTAGCAACAACAACATACAGTTCCATCACTTGAGAATAAACCATACAGGTTCGAAACGTGTAAATTTACAATTAGTGTAAAACATTCTATAGTTAAATATTATTTTTGTTTACCTCGAACAAAGATGAGATTTGGAGAAATCCTCTTCCAACTAAACCAGCATGCAAGAGCACTAGTCAGAGGGATAGAAGCCTTAAACAAGAAAATAATCAACACAGAATATTCAGTCATATTCAATGAAACCTGTCTAAATTAAAACCTGCTACCAGTATACACCTGTGTGTGTGTGTGTGTGTGTGTGTGTGTGTGTGTGTGTGTGTGTGTGTGTGTGTGAGAGAGAGAGAGAGAGTGAGTAGGGGGAGGGGGGGGGGCAGGGAGGGGTATGACCTTCAACATTCCGGGTCAAAGAGAAACTAGGTCACAGACCTTCAGGAACAAATCTCTTGGTATCTAAATGGGACTGGAGAGCCACAACACACCATTCACACACGACTACCTTATCTAATCACTCACTAACGCCACAGAGACGACAACTTCCCTCGAGCACCACGCCTTAGTAATCAGCATTCGCCTGCATTTTTTAAAGCAGGCTATGACGCAAGGGGGAAGGGGGGGGACCTTAGAAGAGGGGGGGATGGTGGAGGGGGGTTGAGGGGGTGGAGGACTGACGGGGGGTTGGGGGGGCCATTCTCTCTCTAGTTGGTCACTGTGTCAAGGTTTACCCCCCGCCGCCCCCCTCCCTATTTTCTGCCTGGCTCGCTCGTCCACTCTCTCCTCACTTCTTTTTTTGGGACACTTTCATTCATGGCTGAGTCATGACTGTCTCGGGCCGCAGGTGCCCTTGTGACGTGTTCATCCATGTTATTATCATTTGTTCTTCTTGATGTTGTTTTTATTTAATCACACGCGCAGGCCTCACCTGGTTTGTTGTCAGTCTCACTTCCCACTCTACAGCCTCTCTTTATTTACACCCGCTCACATGTCTCTCGTGCGAACACACACACGCACAGTAAAGTGCATGCTCACTAACTTACATATATACATGTATGTGCATGCAGTATACAGCCAAAGTATACACCAATATAAGAATAAAAAATGGAAATTTCCGGCGTTTAGCACAATGGATTCTAAAATACAGTTGCAGTTACAGAGCTGGTGTAGTGGAGTGGGTCAAGGGCGCGGCGGCGGCGGCGGTGACGGCGACGGCGGCGGCCCGGGGGATGCCTACCAGCGCTGGCGGTCAACTCTTGCTCGCGTGCTACACGTATATACAATATTATTTCGTGTAGTCATTACTTTCTATACTGACTAACTTACAACGAGAGGGACAGTGCGGCGGTTGTATGTGTTACAGGCCAGGACGCTGAGGCAACAGGCTTCCCATTTCTGAGGCTCATTTGCTAGACGGCTCACGTTGCCAGACACCGCAGCGCGGCACCCTGGGCCCCCGACCACTGTATTATACATTATACTTCCACAACACTTCACTCCTTCCTCCACACACTCCTGCACCCAGGCTCCCGACCACTGTATTATACATTATACTTCTACAACACTACTCCTTCCTCCACACACTCCTGCACCCAGGCTCCCGACCACTGTATTATACATTATACTTCCACAACACTCCACTCTTTCCTCCACTCTTCTGTACCGCCACCCTTTCCACATAGGATCTTCTTGGTCAACATATCCTTACCAGAACACTGCTCAAATGGGGAGGCAAGTGGTGGTGGTGACGGGGGTGGCAAGTGGTGGTGGTGACGGGGGTGGCAAGTGGTGGTGGTGACGGGGGTGGCAAGTGGTGGTGGTGACGGGGGTGGCAAGTGGTGGTGGTGACGGGGGTGGCAAGTGGTGGTGGTGACGGGGGTGGCAAGTGGTGACGACGACGGGGGTGGCAAGTGGTGGTGGTGACGGGGGTGGCAAGTGGTGACGACGACGGGGGTGGCAAGTGGTGGTGGTGCCGGGGGTGGCATGTGGTGGTGGTGACGGGGGTGGCAAGTGGTGGTGGTGACGGGGGTGGCAAGTGGTGACGACGACGGGGGTGGCAAGTGGTGACGACGACGGGGGTGGCAAGTGGTGACGACGACGGGGGTGGCAAGTGGTGGAGGTGACGGGGGTGGCAAGTGGTGACGACGACGGGGGTGGCAAGTGGTGACGACGACGGGGGTGGCAAGTGGTGGTGGTGACGGGGGTGGCAAGTGGTGACGACGACGGGGGTGGCAAGTGGTGGTGGTGACGACGGGGGTGGCAAGTGGTGTATGAGGACGGGGGGGTGGGGGGGAGAGGGGTAAAGGGTTGGTGGTAGAGCCCAACACGGAAGGCTTGAGGGCTGGACCAGCCTCTTGCAGCCCGTCTTGTGTCTGACATTATTATTATCCTTCCTCCTCTTACCCCACCACCACACAGTACCTCCACCACCTCCACTCTCTACTTCCTCCACCTCCACTCAGCACCTCCATCACCTCCACTCTCCACCACCTCCACTCTCCACCTCCACAACATTACCTATAATAAACAAAGCCGCTAAGTCTCTCTAGCGTGTACCCGCGCCGTGTTAACAGTTCCTTAAATGCATACGAATATTTTTGAAATTCTGCGACGGGCCATTTCCTGGTTTTCAATAAAAAATCTTTCCCTATATTTTAATTGTCTTAGATAACTCGAGGGAGCTATTGATTGGGAGGGGGCGGTGTGTGGTGGTAGATGACGGTGTGGTGGTAGATAGCGGTGTGGTGGTAGATGGGCGGTGTGGTGGTAGATGGGGGGTGTGGTGGTAGATGGGGGTGTGGTGGTAGATGGGGGGTGTGGTGGTAGATGGGGTGTGTGGTGGTAGATGGGGTGTGTGGTGGTAGATGGGGTGTGTGGTGGTAGATGGGGGTGTGGTGGTAGATGGGGGGTGTGGTGGTAGATGGGGGGTGTGGTGGTAGATGGGGGGTGTGGTGGTAGATGGGGGGTGTGGTGGTAGATGGGGGGGGTGGTAGTAGATGGGGGGGTGGTGGTAGTGGCGGGGGTGTGGTGGTAGAGGGGGGTGTGGTGGTAGATGGGGGGTGTGGTGGTAGATGGGGGGTGTGGTGGTAGATGGGGGGTGTGGTGGTAGATGGGGGGGTGTGGGGTGGCGGTGGTAGATGGGGGGCGGGTGTGTGGGGTGGCGGGGGGGTGTGGTGGTAGAGGTGGGGGTGGCGGGAGGTGTGAGGTAGCGATGTGTGGGGTGGCGGGAGGTGTGTGGTGGCGGGAGGTGTGTGGTGGCGGGAGGTGTGGGGTGGCGGGAGGTGTGTGGTGGCGGGAGGTGTGTGGTGGCGGGAGGTGTGGGGTGGCGGGAGGTGTGTGGTGGCGGGAGGTGTGGGGTGGAGGGAGGTGTGTGGTGGCGGGAGGTGTGGGGTGGCGGGAGGTGTGTGGTGAAGGAGGGAGGTACACGCAGGTTTCAGTCATTACACCAAGGCCAGTCTCAAGGATGACAAAGTGGCCCGCAACGCCTCTCACAAACGTATCTTCGCCCTTACGGCACCCCGCCCCAAGAACTTTTCCTCTCTGCCACTCTCTACATAATGAGAAACGTTGCACTGATCATTGTTCTTGAGAAAAATAACTTGTATGATAGTAGCAAGAGGGAGGAATTATATTATGCCAAACTGTAGACTTCCTTCTTCTTTGTTAAGCCGAACAGGCTTAAAAACTCTCAGGTTGGCATGCGTCTTCCTGAACACTGAGGCCACCTATCTATGGAGACCTTCTCTTCACTCATTTATTATAAACATTTCAATCGTTTCAACAGAAGTTTAGCACTAACATGTTGTGCACCGGACACCCTCCCTACCACCATGAAAATATGGCAAATAATTACTGCACCATAGCATTAATATTATTATTATATATATATATATATATATATATATATACATATAATATATATATATATATATATATATATATATATATATATATATATATATATATATGTATATAATATATAATATACTATTACACATAGGTTATATCGAGGTGCCCCCCCCCACCTCCCCAAGGTCGAATTGCAGTCCCCCCCCCCCAAGATACAACCCCTGCAACAACCTGACTAATTATCTATATACTGCTAGGAGAACAGGTACATTGGATGATAGGAAACACACCCAACTAATTTCTGTCGCGTCCGGGATTCGAATCCAGAATTCCTAATTATGACGATGATGATTTTAGATTCAGCTACTGGGAACAAAAGGTTCCAAGCAGCACGGTCTATGGTGAGCCCGTCGTACTCACCTGGCACAGGTGATGTGCACCCATTATGAGTAGACAACGAGCCCGACTCCTCTTTATAAATTAATTAGCCAAGATATGTAAACACCTTTTCCAGTCGTCATTGCTGCAGCGCCATCATCAAGCAGTAAACCATAACAATTTAAGTGATTATGGCCACTGAGCGGGAGTAGAAAAGTAGGAGTCGGCGGTGGTCAAGGCCGAGGCTCACGCTGTCTGGGCGGCCTTAACTTTCATTCACACACTCATTATCAAGCTTTCCCTCTCTGGTGCCCCACGTCACCACACCACTGACGGCCTACCCCCGTCCCACACCCATTAGGACCCCCTCCCACTCAGCGCCTCACCCCTAGTAGGGGTGGGGCACTCCACTTCCCCCCTCACAGATATCCCCCCTGCCCCCTCGGTTGACCACGTGCTATCCATCCCTTCCTGGGCTCACAGCCTTATGCAACCACCCTGCTTCACCCTCACTTTTTCATCTGCTCCCACTACCTTCCTCAGATTGGATAAGGCGGTGCATAATAATATATCATAATTAAATCAAATCCCACTCGTCACTACATCCAGATCAAACTCACCACCTCCAGGAGACTTGCGCCTTCCTCCACGCCTCTGACTGTACCATCCTGTCTTCAGTTATTTGTGTGACCTGTACAGTGGATGAAACAATTCACCAACCACAACAGTCTTCTCGCTTCCAAAATAACCGTCTCGTACATGTTCTCTTGTATGCCGACGATAAAACGTGATTGATAAAAATCGTGATAGTATGACGACAGGATTGATAGTATTCGTTCCGTGCTGTAGTCACACACAACACGCTCCCTGAGGTTCCGTGCTGTATACAGTCACACACAGCACGCTCCCTGAGGTTCCGTGCTGTATACAGTCACATACAACACGCTCCCTGAGGTTCCGTGCTGTATACAGTCACATACAACACGCTCCCTGAGGTTCCGTGCTGTATACAGTCACATACAACACGCTCCCTGAGGTTCCGTGCTGTATACAGTCACACACAGCACGCTCCCTGAGGTTCCGTGCTGTATACAGTCACATACAACACGCTCCCTGAGGTTCCGTGCTGTATACAGTCACACACAGCACGCTCCCTGAAGCACATGATTCACGTCTCTATGTCGAGAGTATTAATTCATCAGTATGGCAACTGAATAGCCAAACAACTATACGGTCATATTTTTATTTTGAAATGAGTTGATAATTCAAACATGTTATAATAATTTCCTTTAGTTGGAAAGCTGGAGTGTTAAATATTTTTTAAGAGTGTCGATTTATATTGAGAGAATAACAGCACATGTTATTTCCAGTACCAAGAAGGAAAATTATAAAATCACCATCAAACATAACATAATATTCCAAAAGGATTAAGGAAAATGACAATTTCAAAAGGGCGTGATGGTGAGGCTGTCACTGGACAGCTGCTCAAGCACCATGTTCATTATACACCACAGCTACAAAGACACCCTTTTTTCTGCTCTATTATGTACACCAACACAATAACCTCTAAAGATAAAAAAAAATCCAAAATTATAATATACAACTCATCCTATTGTCTACATAGCAAGTACTTTTTTAAACTACCTGAACCATCGTGCATATCATTAAAACAAAAATCTTTAAAACCGATAAGACGATCTCCATGTTTGTCTGTTAAGACTAACGAATTTTGCATCTACTGCTAGTATATGGAAGTGTAAAGTTCCATGACTGACTGGTATTATATCCATCCGCCGCGGCCTGTGGGTTACTGTGCTTGAAGTATCTCAAGAGACGCTGCACTCCACATGGAAGCCTATTGACGGTTCGTCACTTTTGCTATGAACTGGAGGTGATAGCCAGGTCAAGGACACAACTAGGAAATGTATATTACACACAGAAATGACACTAACGTGATGCATCAAATGAACAAATCCACAAGGGCCGTGACGAGGATTCGAACCTGCGTCCGGGAGCATCCCAGGCACTGCCTTAATCGACTGAGCTACGAAAGGGTAAACCATGTTGATTATACACTACAGCTACAAAGTTGTGTATTTCAACTCTTTTTACCCTGTCGTAGCTCAGTCTTTTAAGGCAGTGTCTGGGATGCTCCCGGACGCAGGTTCGAATCCTCATCACGGCCCTTGTGGATTTGTGCATTAGGAAATGTATATGTTTAACTCTCAGAATGTTCTGCAATATGTTTATTGTTTGTGATGTGTGTGTATGTATGTATGAACACGTTGTACTGAACGGGGTGAGAATAGCTTGAGCTACCTCATCCCTTTCTGTGTATTTTACCTCAATAAACTTATTTCAATTTCAAGGACACAACTGGAAATACTCTCATAGAGCGGACACGATTTCGACATTTTTCCGTACCGTATGCCGAGGGAAGGTTGGGGTTTAAAGCATATTAACACACTGCAGTCAGCCTATTTATAGACTTGCGTATTCCTTTAATAATGCAAGGATTGTCTAGTACGTCTTTGAACATGTATTGTATACCGCTGAACATTCTTTCTGATTAAGCCGTTTACAGGCCAAGGAGTGGAGGTTATCAGTATATTGTGACAAATTAAACAGATTAAAATTTGAATGATGATGCTAAAGCCGTTTTGTTGATATAACTTTCTGGGAAACTACTATGACGAGTTATTTGCCTTCAGACTTGTCCAGGCTTATGCATAGAATATGATTCTTGAATTAAGCGAATAAATCGTAAAAACCGACACAAACGGAGTGTGAAGTATATTAGGTATTGAGGATACACACGCCCGCCTGGGCCCAGACTACCAAGCATGGAACATGCAGCACTTGCATTTCTAAATGTTCACTATGTGCTTTTTTGTCTTTGTCCGTGGCTGTATCGTTACTCTGCATTTTTAGACATTTTATCTTAATTTTGTAAGACGTTGACGATGTGCATGATAAATCCTAGCAGAGTACTATGTATAGGCATTATTTACTCAGTGGACACTAAACGGACACATAATTTCGAGGCTATGTATATTCACTAAATTAATAATTGAAATTACAGTCAAGTGTAATATTATTATATATATATATATATATATATATATATATATATATATATATATATATATATATATATATATATATATATATATATATATATATATTATGCTTGACTATATATATATAGACTGTCAAATCATAAATCAAATCACTATATAATATATTGTCTATGTTTTATATAGTATAAGATGATCAATGTAGATCAAGGGGTTTCTAATAATATTCATGTTTATTTTTTGGATGCTACATTCTCATCACCATATGAAATATCAATACCCTTTTCTGTGTTGGTACATAAAATAGTAAGGTTCGGCTCAGGTTTCTCGTTTGTACGTGGCATGAACGTGACTCTTTGTATCTCTTGCAGGTTGACGATCAAATGAAGCTGTTGCAGCACTCCTGGTCTGACCTCCTGATCCTTGACCACCTGCACCAACGTATACACAACAGGCTCCAGGTATTATTTTATTTTACAATAAATTTAAATCTAAGACCTGTACGTTTTAATACTCAAAACTGCATTAATGTTGAAATTGTAAATTCATAAAAATGCTAGTAAAAGTTGTTTATGCTAATTTTGCACCCATATTTTTCCATTTATATTTGACTTATCTTTCTTTCTACAGGACGAAACCACACTACCTAATGGTCAAAAGTTTGACCTCCTCTCTCTGGCTTTGCTAGGAACTACTCAATTTGCTGATCGTTTCCATACAGTTCTCAATAAACTAGTGGATCTCAAGTTTGATGTCCCAGAATACGTCTGTGTCAAATTTGTAATTCTACTTAACCCAGGTATGTGCCATTGTTAATTTGGGTTTCCAATTAGGCATTTGCTGCAGAGACACTGTTTTGCAACACATGATATACTGTAATACCATATAACAAACTGTGCAGAACGTTTTATGTACTGCAGTGTTTATATGAAACTTGAATTCTCATTTTAACAACTATCACATATAAAAAAACTTAAAAATGGAACCCAGACTACTCTATAAATTCATTAAAAAATGAAACTACATTTAAAGGATGAAATTCTAAGATTAACAATAGGTGACAGATTCATGGGATGGGGAGGACCAAAAACAAAATGTGTGAAAACGTAAATGAATAGTTTTAAAGTGTGGTTGTTCAAAATGTTGTTTTTGTCGTGTATTGTTGTGGTGTTCATATGTAGATATATGTGGTGTTCATACCTCCATGTCTCCTGCAGAGGTGCGGTTGTTGAGTGACCGGCGGTCTGTGGTAACGGCCCATGACCAGGTCCGCCAGGCGCTCATGGAGTACATTGCTAACGTTTATCCTGATGAATCGGTGAGCACTCCAATTTTGTATGCCCATTCAGGTGTATTGTTGTAATTGTTTGTAACTGTGGTCAGCAAGGTAAGGGCATATTCTACCCTCAGTGCTTTACTTTGGATGCATTTTGTTACTAAAATTGTTTTAAGAACAAAATTGTCAGAATAATGTTTGGATACCTTTCTCAGTTACTTCTGTAGTTCTTTGATTAACAATTAATGTAACTTTTCTATGATGCAAGTCTAACATTTAAACTATTTAAAAGTTTAGTGAAAATAATGTTTAAATGTGTAATAATTTAGTTGACAATTCAGTATAAACTTGAGGAAAATGTCATTCTACTAACAAAAGTTACTTAATTGAACGAGTTTACATAATGTATTATTTTTAAATAATGCCCAAACACTAAAGCAGCCTAATAAGTTGTTTTCTATGCAAAATAGTAAATTTGTCATCCAAGGGAAAATCGATGAACTCGCAAAAAAAATACACACATTATATCATCCACCTGGGCAGGCTGATCCTCTGCCCCTGGACCACAGAGATCACCATAGGAAACAGACGTTTGATGGCTAAACTGCCACTCACCCTGCTATTTAACATACCTAGGCACTAATAAGGTAGCCCATGGTATCAATCTACACGTCCAAGTCACATAATCTAACAAGTGAATAAACATTTCATCCACCCGAGCCCTCAGGAAGTTAAAACCCAGCCTGTATGGTCGAGGGATGGAACTTGGGCCTATCACTATACACGTCAAGGTTTGATTTCCCGCAGGTTCCAGGTGTATGAAGTAATTATTCTGACATTAGTTGTGATTCACACACATACATATAATACATTTTATGAGCTGGGTGGTAGACCATACCTTCTGTCATTTTTTTGTTAATTTAAAATAATTCCCTCTATATCCATTTTCTTTTGGATGACAAAGCAGCAAGGTGATATACTTCCTGTAATGTGATATTGATCACTATGGTTAGTCTTGCTCATTTTTCACATGGGCACACATCCTTTCAAAACTGGAAAGATTGTTTGTCCAAATAACTGCAGCAGCAAGGCTAACTATTGTGTTTAACTCTAGCCTTCCTTTTCTGTCCTGACAAAGACTTGACTCAAACAAAACCGTTAAAAAATACAGTATATCACTATTCTTTGATTTAAACATTTATCTTTATTACAAACAAAAATCAGGTATATTCATTTGTTTTAAAGTTTAAAATTTGTGTTAAGTGTTCCTGTCAACATAAATTTGTAATATTTTAATTGAAGCTGTAGTATTAGTCATTAAAGATACAGTACAGTACATGAAATATCAGCATCATTTAATTTTTCTACAGTACTGTACTGTAAAGTGATTAATCATTCTTCTCCTGACTGACATGCACCCGTCCCACAGTTTGTCTTTTTCCAGGGAATTTTTGACTGTGGCCACGAACCAGCAGGTTATATCTCACTGTAGGCCTGCAGGCACGCTTGTCTTGGTAGTGGTAAGGTCACCGATGACCGATCATACGGTCAAATCGAGACACACTCGAGTCCATACCTAATACAGTGTTAACAAGCCCATTCAGATCGTTATTGCTGGTTCCTTTTTCTCTATAGCAAATACAGTATAAGACTTAGGATTTGCATTTCTTAATGTCTGCAATTTTAGTTGTTTCTTTATACATACTGTATTAAAATACTGTACCAAAATCAACATCTGTGGATAGCTTTTAGCATAATTTTGCCATACTTCAGTGTCCTGTAGCTTGTTCTATCTAGGTGTTCTGTTGATACCTTTATGTTTTAAATACAGTACTGTATATCATTTATCAAAATTATACTTTGCTTGCTTTATATATATATATATATATATATATATATATATATATATATATATATATATATATATATATATATATATATATACAGTATATATATATTAATATTATTATTATTACTAAAACCAATTATTCAAATTTGAAATGTAAAGCTGTTTTAATTTTATATTTCCTTTGATTGCAAGTACTGTACAGTGTAAATGTGGTATTATAATACAGTACTGTATTCATATGATATTGAACAACCTTCAGTGAAACATTTTCAACAAGCTTCAAATGACTAATTTTACATTCTTTTTATAATTTAAACAAAGTAAGTTTGTTATATCTAATTTTCCCATGTAAAGTTTCTTATTATGACTGGCACATATTCTCTTCTGCATAAGTATCTGGACCTGCTCTGTTCTTCCTAACACTAGACTATTCTTGTACAAATTCACTGTCCACTTTGTCTGCTCTTGTGTTTGGGCAGCCTTTTATTATCTCAAGGAGTGATTGAACACACTTAATAATTCATAGTAGATTTTTCCCTGACAGGAGAAGTTTATAATTGTATAATTTACTGGAAATATAACTGTTAGTTACTTGAAACTTTTCAGAACATTTCTCTACATTTTAAGTTCTCTCAGTTCCATGAGTATAAGAAATACAAAGGCTGTTGAATAATTTAAAGCACGTTATTATTGGGAAAATTAAGATACTATTTATTTATACAATGTTTCTATATAACCCTCAGGACAAATATCAGAAGATAATGGACCTACTGCCAGAACTGCACTATATTGCCGATAATGGTGAGAAATACTTGTACTACAAGCACATAAACGGAGCTGCACCTACGCAGACTTTGCTAATGGAGATGCTACACACCAAAAGGAAATAGAGAAAGTGTCAGCTTTCTACTTTCAACCGTCCAGTGCGCCACATGTGTAT